GAGATGAAATATCAAAGAGTGGAATTAAAAAGTAACAAACACTAGGGTTTCGGAATCCACCTTAAACAATTCTACACATGTTCATGGATACTCAAGTGATGAACTCTAAACGTGTTGATGAAGATGTTCGCAATCAAGACCATGGGTCGTGGCTCAAGACGCATTAATTCTCTCTAATATACGTAAAGTGCAGTACTAGTGCTACAATGCTTGTGCCTTCCCTATAACCTAATCTAGGTGTGCTTAGTACTTTGATTCAATTACAAGAAAAACTCATTAAGCTCAAAGAGAATCTGAACACCACAAGAACCCTAATAGCATGATGTTTACATTAGGTATTCAAGAAACCAATTCACATGGATGATTCTTACTTCATCCATTTATTGCTTAGGATAACATGAAGATACACATAATCCCAACAATCTCAAGAAGCATGCTTTCAAAGATGGCCAACCAAGGAAAAACACACATCAAGGATAGATTAATTTGGTAAATTGGAATTCATCAACAACATCTAGAAATTCATACACTCAAGCATCAAAACAATACAGTAATCATGTTTAGGGTTTCAACCTAAGCCCTAGCTATGGAGTTTAGTTTCTCATAATCATTTCAAACACAAATTCGAAGTATAACTAGAAAGAGTTTACAGATTTTGTAAGTGATGGAAGCTCAAGGTCTTCAATGGTGGAAGTCTCCCTTTTTCTCCTTGCTTGGCTGCACCTCTCCTTCCTCTCTAGTTCCAAGCTCTCCAAAACCTGCTCATCTCTCCAAGGATGAATCCCCCGTTCAAAGGCTGATGCACATTCCCTTTGCTTCCATCTCTTTCCTCCTTTACAGCTCTTACTTTTAATATTCTATTGCCAAAGTCTTCACCCATCATCCTTTGTCTCCTTGCAAATGATGAAGTTTTATTTTAAAGTATATTCCAAGGCTCCATTTGACTCAGGAAATCCCACTTCAAATGTAATTCATTGTTACCAAATGGTGTGGTAACAAGTAGAAATAAAATGCTATTAAGTGGAGGTGAAAACTGGCCCAAAATAGAGTTCCAGAGCCAGCATCAATTGTTAGATAAGTTGGATAGGCTACACTTGTCCAATGGAGCTCAAATTCGGATATGTTGTAGTTAACATCCATTGGAACACGTTTCATGAAGATCATCACCTCATCCAAGCACCGGAGCATGCTGATCCAAGGCCACGAAGTTGACCTACGAAAATGAATAAAAATCAGAATATATAACCAATAATGCACTTTTAGCTCATTTTCATTCTAACTAAGGTAAAACCTATGAAAACACAGAAAGGAAGTAAAAAGCTATAAAATGTCAAGAACTAACTCAAAATAATGGGTGAATAACATGAAAAATCATGTGTAAAAATGAACCGAACACAAATCAAGTGCTATTGGTGATGAGGGATCGAACATGACTTTGAGTAGAAGGGTAAATATTCTTAATGACTTGAGTTACAAGCTTATAGTAGTACAGTAGTGTTGTTTCATTTGGTTTTGGCCTAGTCCGACCTCAGACATGAAGATGTTGAGGGAATTCCGAACCAAAGAGCAGAGTTTCTGTCCTGTTATAGATTCAGGTGAAGAATTAATCTTTAGATCCTATAAATACTTAGACTGATTTTTTTTTTTGACAAAAACAAAAAATACTAGATAGATTTGGGAGATTTAAAAATAAGAGAAGGGACAAGAATGTTGGCTGTTGCCACCCCAACATAAGCAATTTCAAATCCTTTTGATTGGTTGCAGGGCCTTATACATGAAATGAACGATAATCACTGGATAAAAATGGCAATCATGCAGAGGAGAAGGAGCACAAAAATCGTAATCAGTTAAGGATGAGATCATGAGACAGTTTTCATTTCCCAAAAATCAATGTTCTCTCTTGAGCATGTGTAAATAACGAGAAATATTTTCCTACTCCTGTCCATCCTTATTTTTTATTGTTCTGGATCGTTGCCCTTAATGACTATACGCTTTTAACATTACCAAAACTTTTTGAACTGAAAAAAAGCAAAATTTTAAATTGATTGAAAACACATTGTTAATTAAATTGATTGAAAAAGGTTAACGTAGTAGAATAGGATTAGGAAGCTTATGAGTTGACAAAGTTAATTTAACCATATGACCTTCAATATGGTTGAACTCTTCAAATGAAACAAAAATGAATGAAAAGGAGATATTTCTTATTTGTTATTTGTTATAAGTTTTGAACGAGCTCACAACTCCATAATATATATTACATAAATTACTATGACAAACTTCACCTGAAATGTGACGACAGAAGCACATTTCTTATTTGTTGGATCTTGAAATAAAGAAAAAGAAGGCCAAGGTGAGCCCCTGGTACGGTTCTTACATACCCAACCTAAGAGCATCCACAGTGGGGGGGTGTATATGGGGGTGTATGTTAAATATACACCCCGAGTCACCGGAATCGTCTCCAACGGTGAGATGTAAATGGATGTAAATATACATCACCACCATGGGGATGTAAAATAAAATGTATATTTACATCCCTTGCAGGCGGGACCCACCCGAGAAAAGAGAAGAAAAATGAAAAAAAAGTCAATATAAAAGGCTAGGATCCACGGCTACACCCCCGAATTTACACCCCCCCACTGGAGTAAAAAACATATTTACACCTCCCGGAGGTGTAAAGGGGATGTAAAAGTGGCTTTACACCCCCGAATTTACACCCCCCCATTGTGGATGCTCTAAGTACATATAATTTTCTATTAATTAGACAGTGCCATTCTTCTCTGCAATTGATTACCATTTTCTCTACTGTTAATGTTCATTTCACGTCTAAACAACCAATCACAAGGATTTGAATTGTGGATGTTTTCTGAGATCTTGCCTTGCCTCTCAATTTTATAGCGTATCATAGTTAGGTCTTCCCCTGAATCTGTAACAGAGCAACCTACTCTTTTTGGTTGGAGGAGGGTTTAGAGCATCCACAGTGGGGGTGTATGTTAAATATACACCTGTTGTGATCGGAATCACCTGTAATGGGGGGGGGTATATGAATGTATAATTACATCACCACCTTGGAGATGTATATTTAGATGCAATTGTACATCTTTTTTTTTACATCTCTTGCAGGTGGGACCCAGCTGCAAAAAGGAGAGGAAAAATGGAGAAAAGTGGCTTTACACCCTCGAAAATACACCCCCCCTATTGGAGCAAAAAGCGTATTTACACCCCCCGGAGGTGTAAAGGGGATATAAAAGTAGCTTTACACCCCCGAAAATATACCCCCCTACTATGGATGCTCTTAAGGCTTTGCCTCACAATAATTATCGAAAGGTGTATACCAAGGTGTTCATTGAATTTACCAAGGTTACGAGTGGACTAGGATTAGAAGGCATATGAAAGTCATGACATGGTTGAATTTACCAAGGTTACGAGTGGACTAGGATTACGAGTGCGCTGCGAATCCAGCCGCTCTTTTGGTCTTTATCTCATGGGTTTTCCTCTTAGATGTTGCGTTCGAGTGTTGCCGTTCCAGCTGCGCTTCATCCTTCTTCTCATCCCGCGGGTTTAGCTCACAGGGATTTCTAGATTTCGTAAAACAAGGTTGGTTTTAAAGTTCTTTTGGTTTTCTAGGTTGGTTTATTCATTTGTCATGTTGAAAATTGAGAAGTAAATCAGAAATTGAGTTTGTTTTGTTGTTACAGGGAGGAAGATCTAAGGAAAAAGAACTGGAGTAATCAATATGAGAACCCCCAGATCAGAATTATACTTCTAATAGATGTTATAGATTTTCTGTTTGCGTGTGGTTATAGATTTTCTATGTGGCTGATTTTTTTTTCTGTTTGTACTTATCTTGCGTTCCCTTTTTGGAGTCTCTACAGCACAGAGGAAAAGAGAGAATTGACCAAGCTTCCGTAGTAGAATAGGATGGAGGCATAAGAAAGTCATGACAACCTTTTAACCATGGCAAAAATTAAGCAAGCAAACGATAGTAATATGTTTTGCACTCGCATTGCATAATGTTGTGAAAATGGACAAACACTTTCACTCACTCCCCTAATGATCTTGTTGTTGATGGACTTTGTGACACACACAATGATGGATGAATCACACACACACACACACACACACGCTTGAGACAACAACCAAGCACAAAGTGACACAAGAATTTATAGAGGTTCAGCAATTGCCTACATCCTCTTGGTGATCCCCTTGAGAAATTCACTTCATGAAAGAATAAGTTACAACTTTGGTTTTACACAGAAAACCCCCTTAGAACTCTATTCTCTCCCCAAGCTCTCTTTTCTCTCACACCCCTTTGCTCAACACTTTGATGCACTTGTGAAACACTCTCACAACCCTTGGTGTTTCCCCCCTTTGTGTCTAGACTCTCAAGACCCCAACTCAGCTCTAAACTTGAACTGATTGCTCTCTCTCAC